CCTAGGAGTTTTCCTTTGGGGATCTCTTCCAGGAGGAGATAGGTGGATTCTATTTTGCCCTCTGGTTCTAAAATATCAGGGCAGTTTTCCTTGATAATTTCTTGAAAGATGATGTCGAGGCTCTTTTTTTGATCATGGCTTTCAGATAGTCCAATAATTTTTAAATTCTCTCTCTTGGATCTATTTTCCAGGTCAGTTGTTTTTCCAATGAGATATTTCACATTGTCTTCTATTTTTTCATTCTTTTGGATTTGTTTTACAGTGTCTTGATTTCTCATAAAGTCACTATCTTCCAATTGCTCTATTCTAATTTTTAAGGAAGTATTTTCTTCAGTAATCTTTTGGACTTCCTTTTCCATTTGGCCAATTTTTCTTTTTAGGGCATTCTTCTCCTCATTGGCTTTTTGGACCTCTTTTGCCATTTGGGTTAGGCTATTTTTTAAGGTGTTATTTTCTTCAGTGTTTTTTTGGGTCTCCTTTAGCAAGCTGTTGACTTGTTTTTCATGATTTTCTTGCATCACTCTCATTTCTCTTCCCAGTTTTTCCTCTACTTCTCTTACTTGCTTCTCAAAATCCCTTTTGAGCTCTTCCAAGGCCTGGGACTGATTCATATTTTTCTTGGAGGCTTTGGATGTAGGAGCTTTGACTTTGTTGTCTTCTTCTGGTTGTATATTTTGATCTTCTTTTTCACCAAAGTAAGATAATATAGTCTGACTCTTTTTGCACTGCTTGCTCATGATCCAGCCAATTACTTGAGTTTTAAACTCTTTGTTAAGGTACAAGTCTGCTTCCAATGTGGAGAGTGTACTATTCCAAGCTTCAGGGGTTTGTACAGCTGTTTTAAGAGATACTTGTAGGGACCTGTAAATTTTCAGTTCTTGCAAGGTGGTATGATAAGGGGCGAGGTGTTTACTCCTTTCCTGGCCTGTGCTCTGGTCTATTACTGACCACAAGTACTACTTTCTGTCCTGGAACTGTGAGGAAGGTTTCCTCTCCACAGCCACTACAAGCTCCACCATGCCAGTGCTCATCCTCACCCCAGGACTGCCGCCCAGAACTGTGACCCAGATCCAAGCGCAGGCAAAGCAAGAGAATCCTGCATCAGCAGAGAGATCTCTGCAATTCCCCTCTGATCAGCCACTCAATTCCCTCTAAGTCTGTGAGCCAGAAGCTTAGGACACAGCCACTACTCAGGCACCTGTGCTCTGCACTCTACGCATTGGAACTGGCTCTGAGACCTAGCTCCTCTCTTACCACAGAAACAGACTTCTCCCACTGACCTTCTAAGTTGTCTTTCGCATTCATGGATTGAGGAGTCTGGAAACTGCCACATCTGCCCATGATTCAGTCCTCTGAAGCCTGCTCCAGGTTCACTGTGGCCTGCGCGCCCACGCCGAACTGAGCTCCTCTACCTGCCCAGTGCGATACACCTTTCTGGTCAACCATCCAGGTTGTCTTGGGCTAGAAATTTGCTTCACTCTGTCTTTTTGTGGGTTCTGCTGCTTTAGAATTTGTTTAGAGCCATTCTTTATAGGTATTTGGAGGGGTTTGGGGGAGAGCTCAAGTTAAGTCACTGCTTTCATTCAGCCATATTGGCTCTGCCCCCCCCATAGTAGGCCTTTAATAGATGCCTCCTGGCCTCCCTCGAAGCCCAAGGCCTTTGGATTCTCCCATCCTGGCTGCAGTAGCTTCCAGGCCTCATTAGAAAACAGGCAGCTTTGTTTGGCAACAGCATCTGGGCCAAACGCAGGGGAAGGCCATCTTCCAGGCCACCTGAGTGGGGGGGGGGCACCAGTGCCTGGTGGATGATCTGGGCACTGCCCAGAATGGAAAGGACCTTTTCCAGGCTAAGGCTGACCTTCCAGTGTTTGGATCTGCCATCAAGGGGATCTAGTGGGAGGAAAAGAAGATTTGCCGTATTCTTGCTTCAGAATCGCTAGCTCTCACATAGCTAGGTATGCAAAGTGCTTTGATAACATTAACTAGTATTTATACAACACCGACTATGTGCCAGGCACACTACTAAGCACTTTTTGAATAGTACTTAATTTTATCTGCACAACAACCCTGAGAAGCTGGTGCTATTATATTATCCCCATTGTATAGCTGAGGGAACAAAGTCAAACAGGATGAAGTGACTCGCCCAGGGTCACACAGCTAGTAAGAGTCTGAGGTCAGATTTGAATTCAGATCTGTCCCAACTCCAGGCCCATTTCTCTGTGCACTCTGGCACCCGTTAGCTGTCTTTCTTTATTTAAGATTCACAATGCTACAGGCTGACTTCAGAAAAACCTGGAAAGACTTGCATGGACTGATGCTGGGTGAAGTGAGTAGAACCAGGAGAAGGGTGTACACAGTAACAGCCACATTGTGCAATGACTAATATCGATAAACTTAACCCTTCCCAGCAATGCAAGGATCTAAGACATCTCCAAAGGTCTTATGATGGAAAAAGCCATCCACATCCAGAGAAAGAACCATGGAGTCTGAATACAGATCGAAGCAGACTAGTGGCTATTTTTTTTCTTCTGTTGAGTTTTGTTTTCTCTTTCTGGTGGTTCCTCCCATTGGTTCTAATTCTTACTTACAACATGACTAATGTGAAAATATGTTTAATAGGAACTTATATGTAGAGCCTATATCAGACTGCACACCGCGTTGGGGAAGGAGGTAGGGAGGAAGGGAGAGAAAAATTTTAAACTCAAAAGCGTATGGAAGTGATTGTTGATAAATCAAAATAAATTAATTTTAAGAAAAGATTCACAATGCTAGTGTAATCATCTCTATTGCTAATTTTGGATGTTCAGTCATTTTTCAGCCATGTTTGACTCTTCTTGACCCCATTTGGGGTTTTCTTGGCAGAGATACTAGAGCAGTTTTCTGTTTTCTTCTCCAGCTCCTTTTACAGATGAGGAAACTGAGGCCAATAGGGTGAAGAAACTTGCCGAGGGTCACACAGCTAGTAAGTGACCGAGGTTAGATTTGAACTCATGTCTTCCTGACTCCAGGCCTGGGGCTCTGTGCACCATGGCGCCCCCTAGAGGCCCACTGCTAATTTCAGTATTTTCTTTTGTTATCACATCATCTTCATTTCCTGATATTTTCCTTCTCCCTTCATGCAGAGAACAATCCCTTACAATAAAGAATAAAAAAGAGCAGGGTGGGGGGAAGCCTGCCAGCCAAACTAACCAATGCACCCACCAAGCCTGACAGTATACGCGGCAGACCGCACCTGTACCCCCACCCCACTCCACCCCCCCAAAAAGAAGGGAAGAGGCTGTGAGCCCGGATTTCCGCGTGCAGCCCAGGACTGGGCTTTACAGTTACATAGCACTCAATTCCAACTTTCTTGTCCTCCTTTCCAGTTATGTTACTGCAGCCAACGTGTTGGGTTTCCTCTCGTTTCTTCTTCCGTCTCTAGGCATTACTTCCTGTGTGTTACCATAATGCTATCACCACTTTAAGGGATCGCTGAAATCTGCTTTAAGTAGCCTAGGAATGAGGATCCCAGGGCTCTGGCCCCAGCAGTGCCCTGTGGAGTCCTGAGGTCAGACTTCAGATCCCTTTCCTGTCAGGTGAGTCAGGTGAGATCCCCTCTGTGGCGCCTTGCATCTCTGGCATCCTCTAGTTCAGGGGACACAGGGTCTGCATCTTCTTGGAGACCCGCCCAGGGCAGGGCGATCCAGGCTTTATCCAGAGCCCTGCATGGCTTGTGGTGGTAGGACGGTGCTTTCTTTGTGTTGGTCTAGAGATGACCATTCCCATATCTCCTGGGCCTCTGCTGGCCTGGGCATCATGGGATGATCCATGATCCCTTGGTCTGAGCCTTGTGCCACCCTCACCCCACTGGTGTCCCGTTGCTGGTGGACGGGGACATCACTCTCAGGTGTAGCTGGCGGCCGTCTCCAAGGTGACAGAATTGCTAGTTGTACCTTTGTATCTTCTAAAACATAAGCCAGGGAATGATCCCCTTTGGGAGGGTGAGTTTAAGGAGAGGATTGTGAGGAGGGAAGAAAGCAAGGTCCACAACAGTACTGACAGGAGGGAGAAGCTGCCCTCAGCCTCGCTGTCCAGTGGCAGAAGTAGCCCTCATGGCCTCCCTGAAACAGTGGCCCCAGGGCAGAAGAGGCGCTGCCCTATCTGTGTTCTGTTTACAATATTGGCCCCATCTGGGAAGGCTGGCTTCTCCCTGCCTGGCTTCTCAATGCCAAGGGCACCATGAGCAGATCTGTATTTAGAACCTCTGGCAAGGCTGGGACTGGAGATGGGGGTGGAGGGCAGGAGGGCAACCTCCAGCTAGGAGGAAGGAGGGAGTACTGGCTAGATATTTGGGGAGGAAGCTCCCTTTCCAAACCCCCCACCCACTCAAGCTTGTTCTTCCTTGTCTACCTTTTGTTGCAGTGTGGGTGCTGTTGGGGGGGGAGGGGGAGGGATAGATTTCAAAATGTAGACAATGTGCAAACAAGAGACAGCAATGACAATTTTAAAAAGAAGAGCATCTGCAAATACTAACAGTAGCAAACTCCCAGAGGCTGGAGACTTTTTTCATTTAGTATTTGTGTCTCCTGCACTTAGCACATAGTAAGAGTTTCATAGATACACGTTCATTGATTAAGTGATTGAAATAAGGCAAATGTCCTCAGGCCCAGCTCCCCTAGTTCCATTGTCAAAAGTACAATTCAATTCGACTTAGCAAGTATTTATTGAGTGCTCACTGTATGCTTGACCTGGGGATGTCAAGGCAAATTGAAAAACAGTCTCTGAATTCCAGTCACATTCTCCTAGAGGTAAGAAAATGACACAGATAAGTCATGGAGTTCTCTGAAAAGGGTGAGAGGGACAGTAAAAAGCCGGGAAGGGGTGTCAGGAAAAGCCTTTTCCCTGTAGGAGGTGCCTCCTGGGCGGAGTCTGGAAGGAAGGATTCCAAATGGCCAAGGTGAGGAGGCAGCGCTTTCCAATCAAGGGCCACAGCCGGAGCCAAGGCATGAAGGTCAGAGAAGGAATGCCCTGTTCGGGAGGAGGGAGCTGTCCAGATCTATAGAACGCTGAGTGCGTGAGAGGGAGTAGTAAGTGATCAGTGTACACGGTTGGCTGGAGGTGAACAGACAAGGGTGGTGGCGATGGTGTCCTTTTGAGAATCCAGGGCAAGGCTGCCTTGACTTGGGCCCTCTGGGTAAGCTTACTGCCTTTCCTTATTCCTCGCTCAGCCCTATGCTAGCCTCAGGGTTCCAGATTTCACCAGTTTAGAGAAGGGAAGGTCCTCAGTGCGGAAGAGCACAGTGGCGCAAATGAGGTGACGCCGCACGAAAAACCCCAGGAATTCAGGAGCGGGGTCGAGCTGCACCCTACTGTGTGCAGTGGGCTAGATTCAGGAGTTGGAGGTGGGCGGAGGGGATTTGAAACCTGGGAAGACTTGCATGAACAGACGCAGCATGGAGCGAGCCTGTATATAATAACCACATCCTAAGGCAAGCGCGTTGTAAACGCTTACAAACTGCGATCAGCGCGGGCGGCCAGCTTCAGCTCCGGGAGGCTGCCGATGAATCACGCTTTCCACGGCCAAGAGATGACAAGTGACAGACTAGCGGGGGCCGAATGAGGCACGCCCAATGTGTAGGCTTGTTTGGCTTGGCTAACTTCTTTGTTAGCTGAGTGTCTTCTTTGGGTGAGGGATAGAGGAGCTGGTTATAGAGAAAAGATGGAAAAGGAATGAAGAAACATCAATGAAACATTGTAAACACACACAGAAGAGAAAGGGAAACTGAGCGAGGGACATGGGCCGCCGGGGCATTTCTGCCTTTATCATGTTAAAGTTATCATAGAGATAGGCGAGAGGAACTTCTGGAGGGGAAACTCCCTCGACCACTAAACATCGGCACCTTCACTGCAGCTTAGAGAGCAGCCTGGGCACCTGACCATCCAGCCAGGAGGCAGTGAGGCAGGGCTTGAACCTGGGTTTCTTGCCTCTAAGGCCAGCTCTATCCACTGAGCCACACTGCTGCTTATCCTTCATAAATACTTTGAAAAAACACAAGTGAGATCATGGAAGTTATCTTTCCCAGACAAACCTCTTTGTCTGGTGGTTCTTTTCATACGGAAATGTCCATGATTGTTTAATTCTTAATTTTAAAAAATAGAATTTAAATTTTTAAAAAAGTACACAATCTCTTCCCTGCCATAGAAGAGCAAAAGGCCTGAGGGATGACTGGACAATTCCCAGCAACATCTACAGAAATATGAAATAATACGACAGAAAGCCTGGCATCAGTTTTCAGACAAAGAGATCGGAGCTATCTCTAGTCATACGAAAAAAAATGCTCTAAATAACTATTGATTAGAGAAAGGCAAATTAAAACAACTGAGGTACCACCTCACATCCATCAGATTAACTAATTATAGAAAAGGAAAATGATAAATGTTGGAGAAGATGTGGGAAATTTGGAACACTAATGCTTTGTTGGTGGAGTTGTGAACTGAACCAATCATTCTGGAGAGCAATTTGGAACTATGCCCATAGGGCTATAAAATTGTGTATAGCCTTTGGTCCAGCAATACTACTGCTAGTTTTGTACCCCAGAGATTTAAAAAAAAAACTGGTGGGGAGCTGGGGAACACTTATTTGTATAAAAGCATTCATAGCAGTTCTTTTCATGGTAGCTAAGAACTGAAAATTGAGGGGATGCCCCTTAGTTGGGAAGTGACTGAACAAGTTGTGGTATATGATTGTGAAGGGATATTATTGTGATATAAGAAATGACAAGCAGGATGATTCCAGATAAACCTGGGAAGACTTTCATGAACAGATACAAAGGAAAGTGTGCAGAACCAGGAGAACATTGTACACTGTAACAGCAGTACCATTTAATGATCTACTGTGAATGACTTAGCTCTTCTCTGCAATACAGTGATCTAAGACAATCCCAAAGGACTCCTGATGATGAAAAATGCTGTCCACCTCCATAGAAAGAACTGATGGAATCTGAATGTAGACTGAAGCACACTGTTTTCACTCTTTCTTTTTCTTTCTCTTTCTTTCCTTCCTTCCTGCTTTCTTTTCTTCCTTCCCTTCCTTCCTTCCTTCCTTCCTTCCTTCCTTCCTTCCTTCCTTCCTTCCTTCCTTCCTTCCTTCCTTCCTCTCTCTCTCTCTCTCTCTCTCTCTCTCTCTCTCTCTCTCTCTCTCTCTCTCTCTCTCTCTCTCCCTCCGAATCTTCTTGTACAAAATGACTAATATGGAAAAGGGTTACATGTCTGCAAACATATAACCTATATCAAATTGTTTACTGTCTTGGGGAGGGGAAAGGGAAGGGGAGGTAGAGTTTGGTACTCAAGCTTTTAAAAAGTGAATGTCAAAAATTGTTTTTACATGTAAATAGGGGAAATACAATATTATTTGTAAAAGAAGTGTGGCCTCAGTGCAGGCTAACAGGCCTGCTCACTCTTCTGCTTCCCTCCCAGGCCTGGATTACTCCTGCTCCTTACCCCCAGAACTCAGTATCCCTGGCTTCCTTGGAGATCCCACTCAGGTACTGCCTCCCCCAAGGGGCCTTTCCTGATCTTTCTTCCGGCCCACCACCTACCCTAATTATAGCCCTATCTCCCTCTTGAAGTCACTTTGTTTACACCTCCTATCAGTCAGTTATCCCCTGGGATAGGGTAAATTCTGAACGGATGGGAACTGTCTCCTCTACATATTCACTTATTTATGTTTGTTTGTATCTATGTATTCCCAGTGTTTGGCATGATTCCCAAGCCAGAGTAAGCATGTAATTGAATTGAAACTGAGTTGCATTTACAATGCTATTTCTTTAACAGAGAAGCTGAGAAGGGGTGGGTTTACAAGTGAGTCCAAGACATATCCCATTTCCACCCATCCCATTGAAGGATTGAGCATTGGGGCACACATGCAAAGGGATTATGAGCCCCTCCTGATTGAGGGCTTTCACAGTGTCAAAAGTCTTCATCAAACCCCTGTCTTGATGGCTCTTGAGGGGCCAATGATGGACTGCAGTGAGGTGTACTCTCCCCAGGAAGGTATACTCTGGGTGACTGGGGGAGGGGGAGAGCTAGACCCACAACGGGCTCAGGAACAGCTTGGTTACCTGTGCTGAGCCTTGAGGGAAGCCAGTGAAGCTCAGGAGCAGAGGTGTTCTCATACATCTGTGGACAGGAAGGTGGAAACCCCAGCACTACATGGATACCAAAATACCAGAAGCTGACATTAGAAAAAGGATTGAATGAGATATGTTCTTGAGGCTGTATGTTTTTGTAACAAGCTGTTAGCATCTCCAGTTTTCCGACCCTCAAATGCTGAAAGAATCCCATAATTATCAGTCAATCACTTAATCAATTAATCATTCAACAAGTGTTTATTAAGGGAGCCTTCCTGCCCCTCAGCACCCACCAAGTCATACCCTGCCTGTGGCTGAACTCCACTCTCTTCTCTCATCCTAATTTGGACTCTGGATTTTAATTCACAAGTAGAACAACAAGGGGGCGTAGACCCCCTTTCTCAAGAGATAACAAAAACTGGGCTGATGAGTCACCTGCAGAATGGTGCCCTGGGGGTTTTAGCCAGGCAGCCCAATATCAGTTCCTAAGAGTCTTTATGACATGAAAAGACCTGAGTGATGATGACACGGAGCCCAAAGGAAATGAATTTCACCTCCTCCCAATCAATCCCTGTCCTGGGTTTCCATGGAGCAGATCGAATTATCTTCTTTAATAGCCTTAATCGGTGGGCTTGCAGATCATATCTTTCAGCATGCACTTCTGGAGGCTTCTTGCTCTCTTCTTCTCTCCACCCTGGCCCTTATTGGGATGAGATTGAAGACAGTTTGATAGTTAGACTTTGACTTGTGGTCTCTGTTTGCTGGGCTACCTGCGAGCCATTGTTGGCAGGCCAGGAAGCTGGCCTTTGTCTTGTGGGATTGACACAGCTGCACACTGGGTAAATAGACTCCGAGGCTGGGCTTTTGTTGGGGGGATTCTTTCAGATTAAAGCAGAGGAGAATTAGGTTGAAAAGGCTAAGCCAGGCCAGTCTTAGGAGAATGGAACTGAGAATGAGTTGTTGAATTCTCTTCCACAGAGTGAGCCGACTTTTCCTGAGCATTGATTCCCAGTAACCCCTGGGGGTGATGTTTTTAGAGGGGCCTCAAAGGCTGCTGCAGGGAGGCTTCCTGGGCTTCAGTCTGTTCCCCTAATGGCCTGTTGGTGCTAGTACTCTGTCAGAAGGCCACGCCACTGCAAAAGCACTTCGCTTACCTCATGTTCCAGCAAGCCTCAGACCCACTGGCCTGAAAAAAAGACTGTGAGACAACAGGACATGCTCTTCCAAATGAATTTTCTGCCCAATCCAGAAGCCAGAACGAACTATGTCGCCTTAGTGATACCTAACCATATGTCCTTCTGCAGATGGAGTGCATCCATGGTCTAAACCATGAGCTTTGGGTACTTTCTATTCTTTCAGCTGGGGTGTGTGTGTGTGTGTGTGTGTGTGTGTGTGTGTAAGAGAGAGAGAGAGACAGACAGACAGAAAGACAGAGACAGTGTGTGTGTGTGTGTGTGTGTGTGCGAGAGAGAAAGAGAGAGAGAGAGAGAGAGAGAGAGAGAGAGAGAGAGAGAGAGAGAGAAACAGAGACAGAGAGAGAGAGACAGAGAGACAAAGACAGAGACAGAGAGAAAGAGAGACAGAGAGACAAAGACAGAGACAGAGGGACAGAGAGACAGAGAGAGAGAGAATCTTGGCTCTTTCCTATCTCTTGGGCTTCAGTTTCTTCCTCTGTAAATGAAGGGGGAGGGTAGGACTGCATGATCTCTCAGGTCCCTTCCAGAAAATTACTAAGTGAACCTCCAGCTTTCCCTCATTATTTCTGTTCCTCCCCTCTCTCCTTCCTCCCTGGTGTCTGGCTGTATGTCACTATGCCGGTGTGCACACACACACACTCACATGGAGTCATGCTCTTTTTAAGTGTTTGGAGACACATGAATATAGATCTGTTCATGGTGCCCTTGGCATTGAGAAGCCAGTCAGGGAGAAGCCAGCCTTCCCAGATGGGGCCAATATTGTAAACAGAACACAGATGGGGCAGCCTTGTGCCCACTCAGAGGACATCATTGGTTCTTGACCAACATTGTGTGAGTTGGCCATAGTGGCACAGCCAGCAAGGAGAAGAGGGAGGGTTTGAAGACAAGTCATGCCAAGGTACTCCAGCCATTTTGCCATGCTCTCCACTTAACAAATCAATAATTTTAATTTTTCCTTCCAACAAATTAGATGTTTCATTTGTTCCAATGTGTAAACACAGGGGAGTTATGAACAAACAGGGTCTGTTTCTTTGAAAGTGGACTAATTGAGATCATCTTATTTATTTCTAGGTTAAGTGATCTGATTCAACGGCAGCCTAATCCCCATATGGCTTTCAAATGGACTTCATGTATAGTGTATATTTTTAGATAATAAATCACACATATAAATTTTATTAACCATTTATGGAACCCCTTAAAATACTTTTTAGAAATTCTTTCCAAGCCTAGCACCTGTTTAAGACCATATGACATCATGTCTCTTGGTATATTGTTCTATTATGAATAGTGGGAAAGGTTTTCCACCTTGTCATTAAGCTTTGGCTGCAAAGTTTGTCATCATGGAAGGGAAGTACCTGGAAAATGTGAATTCAATCAAAAGCGTGCAGCAGAAACATGAAAAATAAATAGCAGCCTTCTCTGCTTTCGTCTGAGAGCCCTTCATGAGGGTTGGAGTAGGGCAGAAGGCTCCAGGGCACCCCCGTGAATTTAGAGACAGAGCCCCACAGGAACAGGGGGAGTCCAATTATAATGGGACAGGGACTCTTCTGCTACTTTGCTTAGACAAGCAGCAGCAGCAAAGGTCTTGAAGCTTCACCTGCCTCCATTCTGATCCCTCTAGTTTTATAACTTTTGGAGTCACAGGCTGGGTTGGGGGAGACCCCTGACAGGAAGCCCTCCATGTATTTCCCCAGGTATATTATATTCATCCTTCATCCCCTCTGTCTGACTTCCTCCTATCATCTTCAGGCATGGCCGAGGCAAAAATTTCTCCTCATATGGCTTTGAGGGGGTCATTGTCCTCTGAAGAGGAGGACCCAAAGCACCAGGCTGGCCACTGCCCTGGTCCTCATTAATAGTACATCACTGCTGTTAATAGTACATCAGCTGCACAATATGCATTTTGGGCATCACAAATGAACCTTTGCCCCTTACCTAGGGCTCATGCCCAGCATGCTCATGCTCATTCTCAGCAGCAGTTCAGTGGCAGCTGGGCATCTTCTTATGCAAACAGCTATCACGTGCTGTCCCACGCTCCTAATGGTCAAGGTCTGACTGTCAAAGGAGATTGCCCTTTAGAAAAAACCACCTGTGGCCTGAGGAGGATTTATTGATTTGGGGAGTTTGAGGGGATCCCTATCCCCTTATAGACTTTTCCCATTTAGCTCTGCAGGGGACACCATGGAGCCAACTGTCCCGTCCACCATTGTAAGCTGGTGATGTGGCCCTGGAGACTTGTGTGGCCCTACCTTCATTCAGTCTCCGTCATCACTGGGTCTCCCACCATCATCCAGGGCTTTAACTGGAATCACAGACCAAAGCTAGCAGTATCCACAGGTCCATGGGGTTTTTTGGAAAATTTTGATAACTACATTTCTCTATAATTAGTTTCCTCTGTAATTCTATATATTTTGTTTTATGTATTTAAACACATGATTCTGAGAAGGGCTCAATTCACAGGATTCCCCAGACTGACTGCCACCCCTGCACTAATTGCTGTTCATACGCACACACCAGACACAGAAAGACAAGGGAGATGTCCTGGCATTTGGGGGATCCATCCATGAGTTGGGGTCTTTCCCCTTCATGGAGAGCAGCTCAAGTCCTGCTGAGGCTCCCTCACCACATCTGAGAAATAATGGGGTGGAGGGGGCCTGTATTACGGTATCATTTATCTCTTGTCTTCTCTTCTTTTGTGTCCTGCACTCCTTGGACAATCAATCTGGTGAATTTAGGGACTCATTCTCTGAATAATGTTCTGCTTAAGAATGCATGAGATATAATACACTCAAACACAAAGAAAACTGATGATATTAAAAAACACTTATCACAATATTTTTGGAAGAATTCATGGACTCTAGGTGAAGACCCTCCTGTGGCAGAGCTAGAAGCATTCTCAAGGATTCTCTAGTTTAACCCTTCATGTTACAGGGAGAGGAATTGAGGCCTAGAGATGTGGTGACTTGCACAAATCCACATAGCAGGTAGTTGGCAGATTTGAACCCAGGTCTGTTGATACTGGAGTCAGGCTGTTTTCTGCCCTAGATATTCCAAAGGTCCTTTCTAGCTCTTAATCTATCTCCACATGCTCTCAGTGACTTTCTGCAGGTCTTGGAGTGGGTCAGGGCTTGGGAACAGAGCTCTGCCCAAAGCTATGGCTTGTCACCACCTCTCCTGAGCCTTGGGCCAAGGTACTTTTCTGTGGCACAATAACAATGATAGCTGCACTTTAAAGCAACACTTAAGTTCTGCTGCACTTTAAGATTTGAAAAGTACTATATCTGCATCATTTCACTGGAGTCTCACCTCAGTCCTGTGAGGGAAGCCTTGTTATTACCCCCATTTTACCAACTGAGAGAGATAGTGATGACCCAGACACCCACGGCTAGTAAGGGTCTGAGATGGAAAGCTTCCCCCAATCCAGGCTAAGCTATGAAACACTGTCTCCTCAACCTAGGTAAACTGAGTCCCAACCTCAGCATCTCAAAGGCTCCTGAGCCTCCACTGTCTCGTTGACGGAGGGGTGGCACTCCTGACTGTCCACCAGCTCAGAGCAGGTCTTTGGTCCAGGAGTTGTTGGGCTGAGGTCTCTGCTTCATGTTCTTGAGAGATGAGGGCATGTCTTGTCCCGTGTGCCTCTAGCTCCCCCCAGAGCGGTCAGCTCCTCTTGCCTTGCAAGTCTGTGCTTTGCCTTCGAGTTCTGCGAGGTGGTGGTGGTTGGAGGCAAACAAGACTGTTTTAGGCTTTAGCCTTCACATTTATCCTCACAAATAAATAAACAGCATCAACTCCCTACCCCCACCCCTGCCTCCAGCTTTGGCCCCAGCTGTGGTCCCTGCTGGGGACATTGTTTTTCCAGGCTTGAGGACTGACATCAGGGTGATTACCACATAGGCAAGTGCACCTGCCTCAGTCTAATTAGAAAGCCCACAGACCTCCCCTGCCTGGCTGGCCAGGAGGCCCCACTTACAGATTAGGACCCCGCAGAGGTCCCTCCTCTCAGATTCCAGGATTAATACCAGCAGGGCCCATGTGGAGGCATTGCCATCTCTTGTCAGGGAGCAGGAGGATTTGGAGATGGCCTTTCTGGACAGATTTTCTCCTGAGTACTTGAAGGGCACAGTATGTCTGAAATCAGTGCTGAGAAGCCACTGGCAGCCATGTGTGGAGGCAACGGCACGTTTTCAGGAGTCCTGGTCATAAACACATCAGTGAGTCACAGATGCTTCCAAAGAACATTGCTTGGTGGAGATGGTAGCAGGCAGGCTCCTGGGCTCACGGTCTGAGTTAAGGGCCAGGGTTGGGGTGGGGAGGAGAACTGCCACCACGCTGAGGCTGCCTTCAGGGCAGAAAAGGTGTTGTATTAGGAGAGGAGGTCTGGGTCCTCTCCCCTATTGCCCCAGACTAGCAATTGGTGTGACTTTGAGAAAGTCAGAGCCAGGCTCTCGGCCTCGGTTTCCTCAATTTATAAAACTCCAATTCAGGAAAGTTTATCAGGTATCCTCTGAGTGCATAATGCTGCCTGGTAGAATGAGGAATGCCCCAGACAAAGTCCATCTGGAGTTCAAGAAAGCCTCTGACAATCTTTCTGGCCTGACATCTGGTGATTCAGACTGAGGAGGTGGACTGGGTGACAATGCGGTCAGGAGTCCTGTAGCTGGAGGAAGGACTGGCTCCCAGCGGTGGTTATCAATGGTCAGAGGTCTTGAGTAGAGTGTGCAGGGCTCTGTTTTTGTCCCTGCTCTGCTCCAGATTTTCATCAGGGAAGTGGATACCGGAATATATGGCAGGCTTATCAATGTTTCAAATGATCAAAAGCCACAGAGAGAGGATAGCATATGGCAAGAAAGAATCAGCACCCCCAATACTTCCACACCCAGGAAAGGTGGGCTGAATTCCATGACCTGGAGTTCATTGCCTCCCTCTCCACATTTCCATTGGGAGCATCACCATTGTACCATTCATTCATTCATTGAACCAAACCTTGGCGCCCTCCCTTACTGCCCCATTCAATCTTGATCCTCCTCCCCTCACACCTTCCTTATGTCCCCTCCTTTCCACCAACCTGGCCATTGTTTGGTGGAGGCCTTCAGTAACCTTACCTACAGTAGGAGGATAGCTTCCTCACAGGTCTCCAGGCCCCAGCCTCAATCCCTTTTATATATTCTTGCAACTGCCTTGAAGAGGTCACATCCTGGAAGACAATTATCTGGTGCCTCCTAAGTCTTTGGTTCTCCAGGATAAACACTGTCGGGTCCTCTAGCTGATCCTGATAAAGCACAATTTCAAGGCCCTTTAACATCTCTGTCACCCTCCTCTGGGTGACCTCTGACTTAGCAATATCCTTCCTAAATGGGGTGTCCAGAACTGCATATGATGTTTCAGAGTTCCTTTGGACAAGACAGAATACAGAGATGGTGTCATTTCCCAAATCCTGGCCACTCTGTTTCTCCTAATATCACCTACGATTGTGTTCACTGGGGGTGGTAGGCACTGCCATATCACACTAAAGAGTGGGTGATGGTCCTTATTCCACTAACTGCCTGTGTCCCACAAGGCTGTGGCCATGCTATGATCCCATCAGTTCCTGTTGTTCAATTAGAAACTCTAAAAAGTGATCCATAAATCATCTGTGACCTAGTCCTAATCTCACTCCTAGAACCCAGACCCACGTCACCAGCTACCTGCTGGACATCACCATCTCAATTTCCTATCAGCATCTCAAACTCAATCCATTAAAAGAAAAACTCACTCTTCTGATTACTCTGTCTCCAAATTCCACCTGCCTTTTCTCTGTCGAAGGCATCACTACCCTTTCACTGCCCTGGAGATGCAGGTCTGGAGCATGAGTGAGGTGCTAGGGTTGCAGATACAATTTTGGGAGGGATCACCATGAACTTGATGGTGAATTGGTTGGAGTGAAAGACAAGGAAGAAAGGCTGGAGAGAAAAAGCTAAGAAGAGAAATTTGGGACCCCCCAGGTTTAAGGGGTCAAAAAGAGGGGAGGGGAAGAAGCCCCAAATGGAGCAGTTACCAGTGTGGGAGGAGACTCAGAGAAGTGTCTCTGAAGATGAGGGATGGTGATTAGACTGAAGAAAGACAAGTGAACAGCAAGTATTTATGAAATATTTTCTAGGCTCTAGGCACTAAAATATGAGCAGAAAGATGGCCCTTGGCCTCAAGGAGCTCACATTCTAATGGAGGAAGGAGTTGAAGAGCATGTGAAGGGGTGAAAGTACCTGGCACAGACGGGGTGATGGGATGAAAGGCAGCCAGCTTTGTCCCTTCCTGGCAGTACTGATGGGAGAAGGGGAACACCGAGCACAAGAAGAAAACACAGACTTCAGTTTTCAGGCCGCCACCCTAACCAGTCCCTGCCTAGAGAGAGCCCGAAGCTATGAAGGCATGTGTTCAAATAATCT